GAGGGGGAGAGAGAGAGAGAAGTGCAAGAACCGAGAGGAAATCGAGGGAGATGGGGATGGGGACTCGAGCAATGAGGTCAACCGAGCTTGAGATTGCCAACACCATTTACATCACCTCGTGATGACCACGCGCCGGGGCCTACTTAGCCTGTCTGGCGCAATTTTTGGGGCCCTCCTAGGGCTTTGTTTAGCAAAATAAACGGTGGTGTGTCAAATATAGTTGTTGGCCTGAACCACGTCTCAGCATAGTCGTTACCAAATGGCGTTCGGCCTAACGACCAGTGCGGCTTCTCATTGCGACCCCCTCGCAGACCTAGATCCGGTAATCTAACCTTTCATTCACTGTTCATTTTGAAATCCTCTTCATTAAAATTCGTACACACAACCTGCTGGTCCAGTGACCTTCTACTTAACGAGCGACCCTATCCTAGTCCTGAAACCATTGACATTCTGCCCGACGAGGTATTCTCCTTCCGGTACCTTGGTTACTCTGGCATCTAACCTCTCATTTGCTCTTCATATAGAAGGCCTTATTATTAAAATCCGTAAACTTTGATTTTATATCCACCGCTTGCGTTCATATCGCACACCGCAAGCCCTAAGCTGGCGAATTATAGATGCCTGCATTCTCCCCCTCATTCTGTACTGCTCCTCAGTTTTTTTCCAGCTTTACTTAAAAAGACTTGGTCATTATTAAACGTATCCTTCGAATGCTCTCTTCAGCTACCGGTGTTTCCTGTGCCTTTTTAGCTGACATTATAATACAGCGACACTTTACAATGACAAAGCAATCTGCTAATCGTATCCTTAGTGAGGTCGTTGACCCTCTCCACTCTGAACTAATGGCTGCGAAATCTTCCCGTACTATGCGCCGAAGTTTTCGACATATGTCTTGCCAAACTTTGGCATATCAGTACTCGGTACTCCCATTCCTAGCACGTTACCTCACGTGTACAGGAACGGTGATCCAAAAGTTGAAAATAGACCAGTCTCCAAAATAGATTTGGAATTCATACAAACCTCTAGATTTTGACTATTTTATTATCTAATCCCTAGGTCTCAGTGAATGGAGCCATACTTGCTGAAGATTTTGGATACTTACTTTCAAAATAAAGCGTATATCGCCCTCGTTCGCGTATATCAGGAAGAATTGCGGTACGGGTAACCGTCGCTCGAGTTTATTTCAGAAGTTATACTACTCAGCGGGGAAACCGTAATTCAGAAGAGCATACGTAAACTTTCGATGAATTCGCATCGGGCTCTTATATTTATATGGGAACGGGGTTAAAAGTAAACATGCGTTCATTACAAAAAAAAAACAAGATGGTTGCGAGACAAATAAAACCCACCATACTTAATGCGGAAAAGAAGACGCTATTCGTTAAAGCCCTCCGTTAAGGGGATGCGGTAACTGAACTTCTAAGAAGACGTCTTGACCAAGCCATGTTACGAACCTTCCCAGAGCAAGAATTCGGGTATTTTTCTCAACAGTGACGGATATGCAACA